GCTCGTCCCTGCCCCAGCAGGACCACGCAGAATGGGTCTGTGCCCCCCAAAATGCCCATTTACACCCTCCAGAGCCTGGCTTCCCAAATCCTCACCCCAAAGGCAGCGCTCCGGGGTTGGGGACATCCTGGGCCACCCATCCCGGGGCAGCCCGGTGGCTGTGCAGGGCGGTTTGCTGGGGGGCCACCCCGAGCTGCCCCGCTTTTGGCAGCTGAGCTCCGGGCTCCCTGAGCTGCGTGGCTCCCAGTGGTTAATTATGTTGGAGTTGGGAAATGCAAAGAGCCCCTTTAATCCCCAGTGTCAGCTTACTCCGCTGATGTGCTGAACTCTCGTGCGGTCGGATATCTGGTGTAAGGGGGGGAGCCAGCTCTCCCCCCGCCAGCACACTGCCGTCCCCAGGTGAACGGAGCAGGGGCCTGAATAAACTCCGTGGTTAAGACTTTTGTTATTTGTTCTAGGGGAAAAAAAAAAAAAAGGCTATGAATGATACTTCCAAATGAGCAATTTATATTTCTAGCCAGAAATTGCCCTTTTAGTTTAACAGATGTATGCTTTGGACTAGCCACTAGATTAGAGTGGAAACCTGCACGTTTAAAAAAAAAAAAAAAAAAATGTTAAGCCTGCTTGTGGGATGCAGAGAAAAAAAGCCTGCTAGGAAAAAAAACCAACAGAAATGCTTCCTATTTATTTTCATCAGCATCTAGGTAAATACAATGTAATGGGAATATTTAAAGACCTATAATCTTATTTACATTCTAAGCATGAATACAGTTCCCAGTACATTGCAGACATCTGTCAGACAAACAGACAAGACTCTGCAAAGATATTTAAAATGCTCTTCTCTTAAACAGCTAGGAAGCTGTTTGGGGATTTTGGCAGGATAGCTGGGATATGACATGTCTTTTTTTCTTCTTTTTTTTTTTTTTTTCCCCCCGTTTCTTCTTTTTTTTTTCCCCCGTAGCAAATGATTTCTTCAGCTCCTTACAAGCAAGCTTAAGAAATTCTGTTTGATAGGGTATTTACTATGAAAATTGAAGTGATAACTCACGGACCGATCTAATTTGTCAGGCATTTTCACTTTGAGGGCTCTCCTCTGCCCGTGCCTATTGCAGGTATATTTTAAGGATTATCCTTCCCCCTCGCATTTAAATACAAACATAGCACGGCACAGGTCAGTCCCGTGAAATAACACCAACCAAATTTAAGTGTTTCTATTTAATCTGACACATCCTGAAGGGCAAATGGAGGGATTATCGAGTGTAGGCTAAAATTGCCTTTCCACGGCCCCTTTCATAGCCCGGCTTCCCAGAGCGCCGCAGCGGATCTGGAGGGCGCAGGAGCGGTTGCGGTGCCCGCAGCGGGGCTCGGGTGCCCGCGGGTGTGTGCTGGGTGCTGTGCGGAGCAGATGGGCAGGGACGCGGCTCCCCGCCTTGCGGGGCCCCCGGTCGAGACCTAACCAGGCTCAGCGATCACTGGGGGACTTTTGTTCCCGCAGCATTTCCCTTCCGCCTGGCACACAAAAGCATCTCCCGGGAGGACGGCGAGCCCCCGGGTTGGATCGCATCACTTTCTTTTTTTTTTTTTTTTTTTTT